ACAGCCGCTTGGGGTAATGCAGAAATGTCTTTTGCACTCGTGTGTGTCACCGAAGAACCCTCTCACCGAAGCCGTCGATTCTGCGCCTACACTGGTCATACTTAAACGTCGGTTAGGTGATGAACCCAGCCACTTACATTTGTTACTTAACACTATCTCTCTATCCTACTCCTGGAAAAGATTTTGGATTTATTACTTGTCTCTTGTTGAAGCTGCAAAACTACGCGAAATGTAGGACTACTGCATTGACAGCAAACATATTAAATGCCTTTTCCATTGGCGTTTTTCGATAACTTACCAGATCACCCAAGGCGGCTTGACCAGTATACAGTCATCGTTCATAGTATTTCAAGGAAATGGAGTTATGCCATATATACCTTTTCGACGGTATATTTATTTTCGGCACAGCGAAGATCACAGTCTTAGACGAATACGGATACAGACTCTGTAAGTCCAGATGAGTGCGTGCGGTTGCACTAGTTGTCATAGTTTGCTCATCCTTGAATCATTCCGCCAGTTATTACTGCATAATCGGATTATCAAGACCTACTCAGTGATCGCTACTATTTGCGTCTCATCTTCCTTGTTTTACCACATCACCCAATTCCAAATTTTTCGCATATTCAATGTGGATGCTCACGCACACAGTTTCATCTTATGCTGTCAAAACAAACTAGCTTCGATTGCATTTCGATTTTATCTACATTATTCAAATGTGGTGTAAAAAACATTCAAAGAGGCGCATCGCACTCAGTTTTCATCCTATGGCGTTTTGCTAATTTCCAAAACCACTAAATCTTTAGAGTCAAGCACGCTCGATATTGCATTTTGTTTTCGAAGAAGATTTTTACTAAGATTTTTGGATTTTATGTGAGTAGTCTTAGATATGTTGTTTCATTGAACTTTTTCATTATATATTTTAGACCCTGTGTTTTGTTAAATCTTACCAAAAAATTAAGTTCATACTAAACAAGTGAGCTGGACTGGGTAGTTGCTGAATGCTGTGCGGCGGCACGCTAATTGGAAATTTGTTAACCCCAAAGACCACTCACACCCACTTAACACACCCCAACCCTGCATGAGCCAGCCTTCTTTATTTTGTATACACCTTCTTGCGAAACGGTCCACCAGATACCAAGTCAGCCAATCAGTGCATTCACCCTTTTGTTCTGAACCAACGACTGGCCTACCTTAACTACGCACAACAAATACTTAACGCGTAAATTTTGCCTCACTATAATTAAAAGACTAAGTTCATATCTTAGAAATATATTCTTGCAATCCACAACAATTGCGCGGTTTGGTCGGGGGCCCGGGATGACGTGCTGGCGTTTCAAAATTTCAGGTTTTAGAATACAATTCGGTTTTGTATAGGCTTGTATTGTGGCTACTATTCGTCCATGACACGAAAGCTGGCTTAAAGACGCTCTTGTGTCAGAGACAAATAGCACCCACAATACAAGCCTATATATACGGATCGATGGAAGCCATTATATATATATTTATATATTATATTATATTATTGATATATTTAATTGGTTTGACCCCCCCGATGACCCCGACCGCTACCCACCGATCACCCCGGAATCCGGAACAATCTCAGCGCCGTGAAGCGCCGGCGGAATGACGGCCGGATACCGGATCTCGGAGAATGAACGGATATATCTTCGAAATTTTTTCTACTCCGTGTGATGAGCTTTGAGGGGGGTAGGTGGTGCGTGTGAGGTTTGTGGGTAGCTTGGGTTGGTGTAGTGGGTGTGTATGATGGAGTTCCGGGGGTAAGGGCAATGGGTTTTTTTTTCATATTTTTGCTGATGCCAGATTGGGGTTTGTATTTTTGCTTTCGAAATATAGCCTAATGCTATGCTGATTTTTTCGCTCAGTACTTCCACATCCGCGTCATTTTTCTTTTTTTAAGCCTTGGATTCTGTAGACCCCAAGGGGGTTGAGTTTTGAGTTTCTGGCTAAAGTGTTGTATTTGTCTGGTTGCCTCACTTTTTATGTAGGTACATGGATACTCTCCTTTTTTTGAAATTCATCTTCGATCCTCTTCTTGATGAGGTGAGAATGGTTTTTCGGTTTTATCCAACCACCATGATATACTACTTCCGACTTCCGCACTACGCGAAGTTTATAGCAAGCTCCTGTCCCTATCTACTCCTAGGAGAGATTTCACCATTGCAGGTTTGTGACATTCATCAATTCTCAGACCGAATAACCCGCTTTAGTTCTTTAGTTTCATATTCTGGCAGCTTAGTAGCATCTGGTTGTAGATACTAGTTAGATTAATGGGTTGGGACTTATTTTTATGTTTGGGGCAGGAAAGCCGAATTGAGGAGGGGGATTCGGGACCGCCCTCATGCCGAGGGCCACGATTCAAGCGTGTGTTTTTATGCCCTCTTTCTCAGCCTGAGAAAGGCTGTTCTACTGCAGAGCAGCTATTTTCTTTTTCAGGACGGGTTTTTGCAAGCTGGGAGACAAAATGATTGCCCTTCACCCCTGCTTGCCTACGAACGAGGTGAGGAGGTGCAGGCCCCTGCTTACGACCCCCCCCCCCCCCCCCCCCCCCCCGCGGTGCTGCAATAGCAACCTCCTTGTTCCTCAACCATGGACGAGGGATGCGCAACGTAGAGTTAACTTCACCAAATATGCTACAGCGGCTATCGGAAGAGTAGGGAGAAGAAGGGGGGGGAAAGAAGAAAAAAAGCTAAGACCGGCTTTTTGCCTCTACAGTGAGTGAGCTCCGTTTTCGCTTACGAAGCTACACTAGATTTAGCGGACAAAAGATGGGGTTTTAAAGTTAGTTAGAGTTATTTAAGTATGGAGTTATTGAAGATGATGGAGTTATATTGAGCGATCACAGTCACAAGCCCGACGCCAGCAAGAAGGATCAAATGCCCGTTCGCGTCGTCCCAGCAGCAGAGCTGCAAGATCACAGAGCACTTCTTATCACTGGCCTTACCAGTCAACTATAGAGGCCCGCGCGCAGCATAACACAAGTTGCAACATTTGATCGCCAGGAATTTCAACAGCTTGCTATGATTCCCTCGTAGTTTCATAAGGCCGACTCAAAATATCGCCAGATTTTTCAAACGTTCTAAGTCTTGCAACTGGCAGGCTAGTTAAGCTAAGGCTTGTTGTGGGTACGCCACCAGCCCGTTTTTGATTATACCGAGCAAGCCTCTAAAGGAGTTGGTTAGTAATATGCCCTGATCTCTGCAACGGTGCGACGAGGAAAGAAGGAACCCCCGACCGAGCGAGGATGAGAAAGGCAGAAGAAGAAAGAGAAAGAAAGCAGCACCGAGACAGAAGAAGCGGAAGCGAGAAAAGAAGCAGACGTGACGTGAAAAGATCCGGAGGAAGAGGGAGCAGGGGGAGGAGGAAATGAGAAGCAGGAGGAAGAGGGAAGAAAGAAAGTAAGAGCAAAGATAGAAGAAGAAGAATGAAGCAAGAAGTAAGACCGCCGAGAGAGGAGGAAGAAGAAAGAAAGCAGGGGGGGAGTGAACGAAAGAAAAGACCCGGAGAAGAGAATTAGGACGGAGTAAAGGAAGATAAGGAGAACCACTGAGGAAGCAGGGGAAAGGAGGGAAGGGGGGGGGGGGAGAGGGAGTGAGGGAAGGAAAGAAGGAGGAGGGGGACGAGGAAGAAAAGCAGAGAGAAAGAAGGAAAGAAGCTGAAGAAGAAAAGAAGAAAAGATGTAGGCGAGAAAAGGAAGAAAGAACCGGGAGAGGAAGCAAGCAGGGATCGAGTAACGACGAGGAAGAGGGGAAGAAGCAGGAAGCCCCGAGAAAGCGGGAAGAAGGAGGGGAGGAAAGGATGGGAAAAGGAGAGACAAGAACAAGAGAAGACGCAGGGAGGAGGAGGAGACTAGGAGGGAGGAAGGGAAGGGGGGAGGGAAAGGGAGCGGCGACGAGGTAAGGGGGGGGGATGGGGCGAGGAAAAGGGAGCGCGGGGAGGGGGGGGTCTAGGGAAAAGGGAGGGAATTGGGAAAGGAGGGGAGGGAAGGAAGCGGAATGGGAGAAAATGCACTGGGGGTGGTGGGGAGGAGGAAACTGCTGGAAAGAAGAAGGGGGGAAAACGATTACATGAACACAGGGTGGGGGGAGAGAGCGAAAGGGGGGATCTAGGGAGAAATGGGGTGGTGAAAGGTCGGCGAATGTTAATATGGGGAGGGGTGGTGAAGGGTGGGGGAAACTCGGGAAAGAGAAAAAAGCACGGAGAGTAGAAGCAGGGGAGTGGAACAAGGGCCCGATGGGAGAGGGGGAGGGAAGGAGTGGAGGAAAAGAGGGGATATAACTGGCGTGGGGCCCGAAGTCCGTAAACGGCGACTGGCCGGTACGCGGACCGGCCACCCCCAAAAACCCAACACCAAAAGTCTATAAGTCGGCCTCATCCGGTGATGGGAGGGAAATTGGATTTATCTCCCGACTACCACGAGTTTCTATGTGTCGACTCAGTAGAAGCCGAATGCTTAAGCCCGCGAGTTGCGAAGTGTGTGTTTATTCCCCAAAGTTCCCAAGAATGAATCAGTCTGAGAGTAGTGTGGGTTGAATAGTGGTCGTCACACATCGGTTCTTATTACTTCGAGCCTAAAGCTCCAAAAGCAGCTGCATTCCGCCTTTATGGAACACCCCTCACCATTTCGCTACACTTCGAGAGAAAACTATAATATCTGCCTCTGTCTGGCACTGTCGCTCAATTTAGGCCCGCATCCTACGGCGAACCTTTTCGCTGGCCATTTCATTTTTCGCTTTCTTTTTTGCCGTGCCTTTCGCCCATCATAGGCCGCGTGTGACTTGCTGATTACGGGTCACGAGTAGCTCAGTGAGGACACAGGCGCCATAATGGGGATATTTGGTAGTGAGAGTAAGCTTTTCAGGGACTCTGAGGAAATCAGCTTCGTAGTGGCGTGATTGTAGTAGATCATTAGGGGAGGCGATATCGAACTAGGCGGTTTGGGATGTAACTACATAGAGGATATTAGAGGGCGTTGTGTTTAGGGGGGAGGGGAGGGGTGAGTGGGGGTGGGGGTGAGGGTGGGGGGGGGAGAGGGGGGGGGGGGGGTGCGGAGTGTTTGGGGTGGGTGGGGGGGGGGGAGGGCGGGGGGGGGGGTTGGGGGGTGGGGGAGGGGGGGGTGAGGGGGGGGTGTGGGGGGGGGGGTGGGGGGGGGTGGGTGGGGGGGGGGGTGGGGGGGGGGGGGGGGGGGGGGGTGGGTGGGTTGGGGGGGGTGGGGGGGTGGGAGTGGGTGGGGGGGGGGTGGGGAGGGGGTGTGGGGAGGGGGGGGGGGGGGTGGGGGGGTGGGGGGGGGGGGGGGGGGGGGGGGGGGGGGGGGGGGGGGGGGGGGGGGGGGGGGGGGGGGGGGGGGGGGGGGGGGGGGGGGGGGGGGGGGGGGGGGGGGGGGGGGGGGGGGGGGGGGGGGGGGGGGGGGGGGGGGGGGGGGGGGGGGGGGGGGGGGGGGGGGGGGGGGGGGGGGGGGGGGGGGGGGGGGGGGGGGGGGGGGGCGGTGGGGGGGGAGGGTGTGGAGGCGGGATGGTGGGGGTGGAGAGAGGGGGGTGGGAGAGGGCTTGGTCGTAGGGGGTTGGGGGGGTGGGTAGGGGGGTGGTGGGGCCCGGGAGGTGGGGGGCGGGGTGGTTGGGGGGGGAAGGGCAGGGGGGGGAATCACAGTAGGGTGGAGGCGGGGGGAGGTGGGGGTGAGGGGCTGGTGATTGCATTCATTAAATTGATGAACCTCAAATAGGTTTTACAGCAGGGTTTTTTTATTCGCAAATTCCCCTCTTGTTCGACAGCTCTGGAATCCGATTCCCGACTTTTGCATTAACTCATTTGCTTGTGTACCGTTTATTTTATACTGAATATTAGTCCTATTTCGACAGGCGTCTTACTCACCTTCAATGCTCTCCTGGATGGGGCCCACCTGTTTCGGCCCGGGCAGGGCTTCCTCCGCATCCCTCGCATGGAATTAGTACCCAGGGGAAAAGCTCATAGATGCTAAGCGTGGCAAAGAATCGAGCCTAATGCATCGAAACTGGGTTAATTAATCCGCCCGTCTCGAAACTATTAAGTCAGTAGCTAGAATGTTGGCTCTATCACCATTTGCACGCATAGCTGGTACCGAAGACATCCGGTTTGTGCTGGGCCCCTCTGGGGTGACGACAAGGGCACTTTCAAATAAAGTTACCGTCCAACGGATTATTTATAATTTAAAAACACCATTCCGCCATTGTGCACGACTTTGACCTCAGCTCTATAGCTGGTTAGTCTAATCGTTCCAGGCACCAAAGTCGTCCTTGGTTCGCGCTCTAACATCAGAGACTTTTTACGCCGCCCTAGATGGTGGTCGAGGACCTTGACCAGTTAAAAAACACGCTGTAGTCATTCACGCACATTGCGGCCTATTTCGTATAGTTTGTTCCTCTAGAAAGAGAATGTGGCCTTATGGCAAATCAGCAATTGCCTCGCCCCCAAACTTTTTTCAGCTTTATTTCATTGTAGGGGTTTATTAACGCCGTGGGGAGAGGGGGATCTTAGTTAATGGACGTGCGAGGCGTTTTTACACCGTGTTTTGGGATGACTTTTCTCATCGCAACCTGACTCTTCTGTCTAGGTTAATCTTCAATCACCTCCGAGTCGACGAATTTACACAGCTCGGTTTTTTTTTGGTTTGTGGGTTCGGGATTTTTTCGCTTGGTCTTTTATCAGATGATGTAGGGGTCACCTGTTCCGCAGGTCCGTCTTTCTTTACATTTGTTCATCTTTTTTAATGCGTTGACAGTATGGCCGTCCGTAAATCCATCGATCGACTTTCTTGGCCACCGCATATCCGCCTCTGGTATCGAAGCTCTGCCAGACAAAATCCAGGCACTGAAGGACTATCCTGCTCCCAGTTCCTTCAAACAGTTACGCCGATTCCTTGGCCTGGTCAACTATTATAGACGCTTTATTCCTAACTGCGCGAGCATTGTTCAACCAATGACTGACTTGCTCCGCGGTAAACAACGGTCTTTTCATTTTGCAGACGACGCTAGACTGTCTTTTGAGAAGCTCAAAGACGCTATCTCCAACATAGCGCTTCTCGCCCATCCAGACACATCTGCACCACTCTCCCTGACAACTGACGCATCCGACACTGCCGTCGGTGCAGTTCTTCAACAACTCATCGACCATCGATGGATACCTCTAGGTTTCTTCTCGAAACGTTTACAACCTGCCGAATCGCGTTACAGCACCTTCGGTAGGGAACTGTTAGCTATCTACCTAGGTATCAGACATTTCCGTCACTATCTCGAAGGTCGACATTTTACAGTCTTCACTGACCACAAGCCATTGATCTACGCAATCAATGGCGCAACGGACAAGTATTCTCCGCGGGAAACTAGACACCTAGACTACGTTTCTCAGTTTACGACAGACGTACGACATGTCTCAGGTGCTCTCAATCCCGTCGCGGATGCGCTTTCACGCATTCAGCAGATCAGCTTATCGCCTGGCACCAACATTGATCTAGCCGCTATGGCTGCTGCCCAACAAGCTGATCCCGACATAGACAAGCTACGACGCAACACCTCGTTGAAACTACGCGAAGTTCCACTAGCTTCATCTGAGGGGACCATTCTTTGTGACGTTTCACAAACTTCTCCCCGACCCGTAGTTCCTACTTCGATGCGTCGACTAGTTTTCAACGCTTTACACAACCTGTCTCATCCCGGCATACGTGCTTCGCAGAAGCTCGTAACTGAACGCTTCGTATGGCCCAACGTCAATCGCGATGTCCGCCTTTGGGCACGCGCATGCTTAGAGTGTCAGCGCGCCAAGGTATACAGACACACCAAAAGCCCACTTGGCGTCTTTCCCGCTCCTGACTCTCGTTTTGCACACGTCCATGTCGACCTGGTCGGACCTTTGCCTCCATGCAAAGGCTACGTGTACCTCCTCACTTGTGTCGACCGATTCACCCGTTGGCCAGAGGCGATTCCGATAGTCAACTGCTCATCTGAGACAGTTGCGCAAGCTTTCCTAGAACGCTGGGTAGCTCAATTCGGTTGCCCAAGCGTAGTCATCACTGACAGAGGATCACACTTTGACGGATCCTTCAGCAAACTGCTCAACGTTCTTGGTTGCCAACATAACCGAACCACCGCATACCATCCCGCAGCTAATGGGATGGTAGAAAGGTTCCACCGGCAACTCAAAGCATCACTCTGTGCCCAATCTAGCACATCCTGGCACGAAGCACTTCCGCTCGTTCTCTTAGGCATAAGAAACACGATTAAAGCGGATTTGCACGCCACTCCATCGTCGCTAGTCTTTGGATGCACACAACGCTTACCTGGTGAACTCGTCTCACCAAAAGCGCCAACAACCTTCGACTATGGCGACTACGCAGCTCGCCTATCTATCACATCGACAGTTAAGCCTGTGCAAACAAGTGAGCAGAGATTGAGGTCCTTGTGTAGTGCTTGGGGTTTGTGGGGCATTGCGGTTAGTAGTGGGGGTGACGTGGAGGGGATAGGTGTGTTACTGAAGGGGGGTTAAGCGGAGGTCAAACAGGGTGAGAGGGGGGGTTTTGGATCTGTGGTGGTGTAGAGGGTTACTATATTTGGAATAACGAAGGCTCAAAACAACCTAAGCATTAACTCACCTACAACCGAAAAAAAATTCAACATTTACGACAATTCAACCACATATGAACATAAACACACACAAACAACCATACAAACACCAACCAAACACCACCCCAATGATCCAACCAGTTTCTTTGGGACAACTTATACGACGCAACGGACGAACCATCCTTATTCATTCTTGCACCCACGCTCCACGTGTCGTTGTTGATCGTTGCTACTAACTAAACCCATGACCAAAATCTGTACGCAAAGGAGCCACTTCAACCTCCTTATTGTCTGGTCTCGTACGGGCCTGGCGCCTACCGTTGGATAGTAACGCAGATGAAAAGCAGTAAAGAAGCAGCGACGAGACGTTATTACCATTGGACTACTAATGGTTAAGACTAGGAGTATCGTTCATATCGGTCTTACTGATCAGTCAAGCAAGCCCGACACCAGACATTCAACCAAACCATCCACCGCATCTGCCGTTCGACACATACGTTCGGACACCGCTTTTCGCACACGTGC